TGAAGACGGTTTCTCACGAACCTCAAGAGCGCGGAAGTCTCAGACGCTTTCGTATTGGAAGGGGAGAGCCGGAGGAGGGAGGCTCTGCTCCCGAATGGGTGTCACCCTGCGGGGCCACCAGCGGGGGCCCTGATCGACTTTGCACTCCTGGAGCATCTTTGGAGCTTTCTGGGGGCATTCGGAGGCCCTATAGCCCTATAGCCCTGTAGCCCTATAGCCCTATATTCCTAGAGCCCTAGAGCCCTATAGCTTTATAGCTCTATAGCCCTATAGCCCCATAGCTCTAAAGCCCTATAGCCTACATGGCCCTATAGCCCTACAGCCTTATAGCCCTATAGCCCTAGAGCCCTAGAGCACTATAGCGCTATAGACTTATAGCCCTATAGCCGTATAGCCCTATAGCCCTATAGCCCTATAACCCTTTAGCCCTATAGTCCTGTAGCCCAATAGCCCAATAGCCCATATAGCAATGTAGTCCGATATTCCTTCACATCTATATCCCCATACCCGTATAGCTCCATAGCCCTATATCCCTGTAGCCCTATAGTTCTATAGGCCTATAGCCCTATAGCCCTATAGCCTTATATCCCTATTGCCCTTGAGCCCTAGAGCCCTATAGCCGTATAGCCCTATAGCTCTATAGCCGCATAGCTCTATAGCCCTATAGCCGCATAGCTCTAGAGCCCTATAGCCCTATAGCCCTACAGCCCATTCAGACTCCAACTCAGATACTCTGATTCCCTGACTGAGTCTTCCGCATACCGCTCACACCCAGATACAGTAACAGTGTGCTCAGTCATATTCAGACTCACACGCGAAGACACATTCACATTCAGACTCACTCACATTCAGAGTCACTCAGCCTTCACGTTGAAGGCCGTGTCGGCCGTCTTGATGTCCATCCTGGTCCATACTCGTTGTCGTGCTGGCCGTCCCCGACCTTGTTGGGGGCACCTTGGGCTGTCTTGGGGCACTCTTGGGGGCCTCTGATCTTGAGGCCATTTTGGGAGCCTCTTCAGCCGACCTTATTGGGGTCACCTTGGGCTGTCTTGGGGCGCTTTGGGGGGCCTCATCGCGAGGCCATCTTGGAGCCTTTTGGGGTCTTTTCAGGGAGCCCGCGGGAGGCTTTTCTTTTTCTTGGGGGCCATCTTGGGGGGAAAGGTTCAAAATGCCAGTTCGTCTTTCCCATCGGGGGCTCTTTGGGGCCGCTCGCCATTTTCGCGGGTTCGTGGGAGGATCTGTGGGGCCTTCTTGGGGCCTCTTGGGGCTACTTTGGCCCGTCTGTGGGATTCGTTCCTGTCTTCGCAGCACCGCTGCTATATCATTTGAATTTATTCGGAGGCATTCTGGGGATATCTTTTCATGCGCGTGGGCGAGCTGCGCCATTTTGCAGGCCTGCCGGGTCACTTTTGGGTCTGCGGAGGCATTATTGGGGGCCTCTTCTGGGCGTCCTGCTGTCACTGTGGAGGCATATGGGGCCGTCGTGGACGCCAAGAGCCCTGCAGATGAAGGCTGTCCATCTGAAAGAGAAGGCAAGGTGGAAGTCCCGCAGCCACTTCGGACCAAGGTGTTCTCTCAGGCAAGCGAACTCGCGTTGACTTCCTCAGCATGACCTCGTTCCTCCAGTCGGCCGGTGGCTCCCCGCTGAAGGCCCGCAAGATGGACGCGAACGCGAAGGTCCAGGCCATGGTGCTGGAGGTATTCTTCGACGTCAGTGTGCAGGCAAAGGGCCTGGCATTTGATGGCGGCATCGTCGGAGTGCTCGCGGATGCGGACGAGCTTGTCTGCAGGAAGGAGTCCAAGAACGCAGTTCGTTGGATGTCCGGCTTGATTTCCAAGAATGCGGCCGACGTCCCCGAGTGGGCCACAGCATTCAATGCTGGGTTGCCGCAGAACGTCGTGGCCGAGTACATGAGCCCGTCGCACCAGGACAACCCGACTGCTGTCGTCCAGGAAACGGCAGAGGGCGGCATTGCGAATGCCCCAGGTGCGTGGTGCTTCGGGATGCACACGCAGACCTTCGAGGAGTTCCGCGCCGTGCTGCGCCAACTGATCGGCGAGGCCATGGGCGTAAATGCCGTTGGCCGCCCAGGAGGGTTCTCGCACCAGGGCGGAGCGTCGAAGCTGCTGTTCCGGGAGAACACGAATTCCACGAACCATTCCAGGTGGACGTCGTGGCATTCCGTGCAGATTCGCCCAGTGGGACTGGTCGCCGACAAGTACGTCGATGGGCTCCTCGATCTGGTGCAGGAGTACCCGTTCCTCGTCCCGTCTGGAGCTCCTATGCGCTTGCGCGGTGGAGCGGTTCCGGTCCGTCTTCGCGGCCTGCGCCCCGGCGACGGACTTGACCGGAGTGGCCGCGAAGGTGAAGGCGCGCGAGGACAAACTCATCGCGGAGCACTTCGCCGCGGTCACGCTGTCCGTGGATGCGGGGCAGCGCGGGGCGCAGGCAGAGATGGCGATAGAGACAACCGCCGCCGGCGTTTTCCAGATGTCGATGGCGGGCGGCGTCGCTGAATCGCCGACGGCGGGGGTGGAGGCGGGTGGCGCTGGCGCGGCGCCGCCGTCAGCGGCCGCGGCGGCGGAAGTGACGCGCGCCGCCAGCGCGTCCCAGGTGGCGACGGCGGGCGGCGTTGCCGCGTCGATGGCGATGTCGTTGGCGGCGGTTGGCGCGGGCGCGGATGCCGTGCCGCCGGCGCGTGCGCCCGCGGGCGCCCCGGCGGTCGGTGCCGCTTCAATGGCCAGCGGCGGAGCCTTGGCGGTCCCGGCGGTGGCTCCGCCTGCGGGCGTCGCCGGGGATGCGCAGGCGCCGGCGCCCGCGGCCGCGCCGCTGGCCCACGCCGACCCGGCGCCGACCGCCGCCGCGGCGGAGGTGACGGTGGGCGCGTACCTCGAGGCGGCGACGGCGTTCGCAGCGGGGGAAGCGCGGAGCGCAGCGCAGTCTGCGGAGAGGGCGAAATACCGTGCGTTCAAGGGCATTCAGCTGGACATCGCTGCCGCGGTCAAGCGTTTCGTGGAGATGCCGGGGGTCGGCGCGGAGGCGCTCGCGGGCACCGTGTCTCGCTGGCCGGCGGCGGCTTTCCCGGCCGACAGGTTGCCGCGCGAGGGTTGCATTTTCGGGGGGGGCGCCCGGGCGTTTCCGCCTCGGGAAGGCAAGCGCGGCTATGATTATCGCGTTCATGTCGCGGTCTTCCCGATCCCCGCGCACCGCTCCCGATGCGGCGGCGCAGAGGGCGCGTTGCCTCGGGAAATGCAACCCCCGTTCGAAGGCTCGAGTGGGCGCAGCGCCTGACGATCATCGAGGGGGACATGGCAGCCGCGGCGGCGGCGAGGGACATGTCGCCGGAGGCGGCCGTTGCGAAGATCGTGGCGAAGCTTGATCGCTTCCTCGAATCATTGCAGGCAGATGCGCAGGCGGCCATGCTGGCGGACGACATGGCGAAGCTCGACGGGCTGGAGCCCTTGCTCGACGGCCTGGAGGTTCTGCTTGTGCTCGTGCGCGACAGCCCCCCCACGGGCGACCTCCTGCGCGCCCTGGAGCCCATGGAGAACGCGGAGACAGTGAGCGCCCTCAACCTCGATGCCCTCGCCGCGGTTGCCGCGGCCGTGCCGCGCCAGGGCGGCGCCGGGAAGTGGCGCCGCTCCGAGCGCAGGCTGGCCGGCGCTATATCGGATGATGCTCAAGGTGTCCTTGGCCCAAGGTGCCCCAGAAGTTCCGCGGGGGCCCCCGCGGCCTCCAGAGCGCTCCTCGCGGGGGTCAGAGGGCCCTGGGGGCTCTAAAATGGCACGAGAAGCCAGAAGCGCATTGGGCCGGGGGCACCCCTGGCAACCCCCGAGTATATTCGGCTACAACCAGCCTTGCCCTCTCAGCGCCACGACTGCCGAGCCACAGACTCGGCTAGAACCAGCTTTGCCTTCTCAGCGGCAGTTTTGACCAGGCCTCTTGACCAACGCCTCGTCGTGCTTGCACATCTCTTGACACTGAGGGGTGAACCCGCATGACTCGTTCCAGCGCTCAGGTAGTCCAGCGCTCAGGTAGTAACATTTTCCAGCTCTCCCCGTCGGCCATACAGCGCGCTCCCATGATCGGGACTTTCGATCCGCAGCTGCTCGCACGGTGCTGCATGTACATTAGCTTTGACCTTTTTCGAGCACAATAAAAAGCGAAAGCAGCCATAACCCCAAACGCTCGGTCTAGGCTTGTACGTCCAGCGCTGTTGCAAAAACCTCCCTCCCTCATCTTTCTGAAGCTATCCCAGTGGTCTGTCCGATTTTTGAAAGCAACCACCTTCATCATCAGCCTCGCCATCATCATCCTACCTGCCATCATCAGCACCACCAGGACGACAAACACCACCATCGGCATCACCATCACCGGCACCACCATCGTCATCTTCACTCGCCGGCGCACGAGGCCACACGATAACGGTCACCATCATGAGCACCACCATCGTCTTCATCACTGCTGGGGAACTTCTGCGTTGTCTGTCCCGCAACCTGAGGTCGCGTTTAAACTTCACTGCGAACCCGCAGTGACCGCGGGAGATACTCCGGGGAGCGATGGCCAAGCCGATCTCGGGCTCTGTGATTCTGCTTCCTGGCTGCACCTTCGAGGCCTTTTGATCCGACCCCTGTGGGCGGGCAGCGCGTTCGCTGGGGCATCGGAGGTTGTGATCCATTCTGTCTCTGTGAACCCCAGGTCCTTTTAGACTTCCGGGATCGTGGAGCCCCAGGGGGCTGCGTGGCGTCTGCGAGCGCCCTTCCGAAAATCACGCTTCAATGCAAGACCATTTTGAAAACAACCCCGGAGCATGCGCCGAGCGCCGCGCAACCTGAGGTCGCATCGGAATTCGTCCATTAGCCGTGCGTCCCACAATGGCCCATCTCAGCGCGCGCGGCATCTGTAAACCATGTGGGCTCGATAGCGGCTCCGGGGTCCAGTCTTGCCGCAGTCAGGGCTGCCCAGTTGGCCCGCGGGGCGGCGACGCTTCTGGCGCGCCATGGCGGAGTCGAGCGTCGAGGAGTTCGCAGTCGACCAGGCGCGCGTGAGCGAGGTTGGGCTCGACGATGACGGGGAGGCCATCAGGCGGTCCCGCATTAGTTGCGCCAACGAGTCGCTGGGTCGCGTGGCTGATCTGCTCTCGGCGACGCGGCCAGGGATGCGGCTGTCCGTGCGCCCTGTTCGTGGAGACGGGCTGTGTTTTTTCCGCGCTGCGGCTGCCGAACTGGGACTTCCAGGCCGCGCGGCTTGGAAGCTGTACAGATGGACGCCGGTGAAGATGATGAGGCAGCGGAACCAGCAATTGTTCGAGGCGCTGCAGCTGGACGAGTACGCCGTGGAGAGGAGGGCCCGCCTGCAGAAGGAGTTGCCAGCGCAGGTGGCCAGTGGCGTCGCGTGGGGCAGTCTCCCCAACTGGAAGGTGGCGCCGCGGGCACGGGGAGGAAGGGGTGCCCATCGCGGAGCCCGGAGATCCAGGAGCACATTTCCCAAATAGTGCTTGCACAGGAGGCACGCGATGCTTTCGAACTCTGAGGGCGGGGCCGTCGGGGCGTTGCCGAGAGGGCGTCTGGGGCCGCGCTTATGCGTTCACTCGGGCGAAGGATTTTTTTGGGGGACTGGTCTGGCTTTCAATGGCGGAGTCGCAGTGACCCCCGCGTTATCTCTTGCCCCCGCCCACTGCAGGTGTTCTACGTGGACATATGCATGGGCCTCCATTCGGAGGACGTGTCGGCAACGCGCCGATATGCAGACGCTGTTGTGATCACGCACTTCCTGGAGGCTTGTGGCGCTCTCGCTCTGTACGTGCCATTCAACGCGTGGAGCCAGGCGGCCATCTTCCCGGACCAGGGGTTGCTGCAGGGACGTGCGCAAATCCCAGTGCTCGATTTTGCTTTTGTCCACTATGACGTCGACGGGTATTCACACTACGATGCGGTGGACGTGGCGACGTCAGGAGCTAACGCTCCGCGACCGTGGGAGCCGTCGACCGCGTGCCGGGGGAAGTTCAGCGACCCGTCGTGTTTCGCTGACGTGGATGCGCTATTCGGCGAGGAGGACGTGGCGGCTTTCTGTCATCAGGTTCTACGTATTCTCGACGACCCTCTGGGAGTGGAGACCGCGCCACCGCTGCCACCTCCGCCGCCGCCGCCGCATCCTGAACCCCGGCCTCCACGCTCGCGCCATGAAGTCGGCGCGGCAGACTCTTCCGCTGGCGCGCCCGCTCGGGCGCCTTCTCCGCCGCCGCCGCATCCTGAGCCGAGGCGTCCGGGCGCTTGCAGTTCACTGAGAGGGAGTGCGGCGGGCGCGAGTTCCGGCAGCAACGCGCGCCCGCAGGCCGCCGACGGGGCGCGGCTGCCGCGCGCCGCGTCAGGGCGTCTCCGACCGCAGGGCGAACGCGAAGAGCATGCCGCTGCAGCCGCGGAGGCCCCCGAGTCTGACTCCGACGCCGACCGGGAGTCATCGCCCTCAGAGCCGGCGTCGGACTCCAATTCCGAGCTGTCGGAGGCCCCTGCCGGGTCAGAGCAGTCCGACGTTGACCACTTGGCCTGCGGCGCCGACGTGGCGCACACGACGCTGGACGTCGCCCACGAAGCAGCTCGGGCTTTCTCTGCATTTCTCCGGCAGGACCCGACGCTTCCTCCGCCGTTCGACCCGTCGGACGCCGCAGACAACATCCAGGAGGTAATGGACGGATTGCAGTGGCCGATCTGCAACTGCGCCGTTCGGCAGTGCCGCTGGACCGGGGAGACGGAAGGGGATTTGCGGCGCCACGTAATCAGCTGCCACCAGGCCTGCCTCCCAGCAGCGTGGAGGCAGGGGTGGAACAAGAGACTCGCTGACAGCGCCGACGATGTCGGCGTCCATGCCGAGGTGCTGGAGGAGCAGGAAGCGTGGATCTGGTCCATCTACTGCCAGGCGGTGGAGGTCCGGGCGCGCACTGGCATGCCAGCTCTCGGCATTTGCAGAGACCGGCGGGCAATTCGCACCATGAGGCAAGTGGCGAACGATGCTTGTTTGTCGTCGCTGGTGTGCTTCTGCTGCGGTCAGATCTACACGAGTGTCGAGGACCCCGAGTCCGCTGGAGTCAGTGAGATTGGATGGACGCCACTGCGCGGGCTCTTGCGCAGTTGTCCGCGTGAGCTCCTGGAGTACGCCTTCGGCTTGGACGCGTTCCTGGCGCACTTCCCGCACCCTGCTCCGGACCACCGCGGGACGCGGTCGCACCACTATCCGACGCAGACAACCGCGTCTTCGCCGTGGGTGCGAACGGTGCGGTGGAATGGTCCGAACGGAAGCCAGAACACCATGCGCTTCCTGTGCTGCCCGGAAGACGTGGTGTGCGACCGTCAGCATGGAGTTGTTGATGAGCTGTGCGAGTCGTGCCGCATACCTCTGTGCTGGCAGTGCCGCGGCATTTTCGCGAAGACGCGAACGGTGCGGGAGCGAATCCCGCGTCCCGCCATCGCCAACGACACCTTTGTCGGGTTCGTGTCGGCATGGTGGGAGAAGCACAAGCCCCGGTGGATCGAGATGGCCGCGGCCACGCCAGTGTGGACGAGTTTGATGGCGTTCTACGTCGAGGGCGATAAGGGCCACCTCATGAACAATCAGGCGAGCTGCGCGAAGTAGCGCGGCACTGCCCCTTCTCTGTTCTTTGCGGACCCCGCCCCCCCAGGAAACTGCAGTGTGGCCGAGTGGCGCACGGGGGGTAGTGGCGCGCTGCTCGCACGGCGAACCCCAGAGGCCATGCATCCGCACAGTCGGTACGCTGTCCGCGGTAATCTGGCCAGCTTCCTGGTGCATTGGGACGACGTCCTGGAGCGCCTGCTCGCCATCACGGAGAGTTCCAGTGCTGCTGCGGCGCTGCCCCACGACGGCGAGACGCTGGCCCACTTGGTTCGCTTCGAGTTCCGGATGAAAGACAAGGACATGTCGAAGCACCTGAAGCACATGCGCCTCCGCGCTCATGTGGTGCTGCAGCTCGGCTGGGAGCTCATCGACCGCGGCCACCCCGCTTTTTGTAGAGATGCTGGCAATCCCATCGCAATCGCCGCTGCCAAGGAGGCGTTTGAAAGGCGCGTGAAGCAGTGCTACCCGTGGCTCGGCACCCCCCAGGACACCGACGGGAAGGTCCCGCCAGCCGTGGACCGGGCGACGGTGGTGGCGGATCCGTCCAGGAGCAGTGTGCAGGATAACAAGCACGCGACTCCGGCGCTGGCCAGCACTGACGTCGCCTCTGTTTTCGACGATGCCAGACCGACCGCCTGCGCGCCCACAGATGCGACGTCCCGGCAAGGGACCGCGGGTCAGCGCCAACAGCGAGCCATGGACGGCGGGCCAGTCGTCCCGTACGTCGCCGACGCGGCCATGTTGGAGCAGTGGAACGGGAAGTACCCCGCGATCGCTTTCCCGCACACGCTGCTGTGGCAGAGCGGGGGGCCAGACTTCACGAGGTCTTGGCGCAACGGTGCCGATGCCGCACATCGGCGCCGCGCGGTGGGGCGGCCCGAGGAAGTGCAAAACCGGCCGTCCATCAGCATGGGGATGTGGCTTGCAGGCGTGAGTCGCCGAGTGGAACACCAGATCCGATCGGACTGGCTCTTCATCCCAGGCATGCGCAATGTCCACTTCCGCTTTTTGGGCATCACCGCGAGGTTGGGGAGCAGAGTCAGGAAGTACAAGGACGAAGACGGATCCGCTTTCACGGAGCGCCTGACCACGGCTGTCCGCGGGTTGCACGACCTGTTGGCGAAGGGGTACTACGGGCCGAACAGGCGGCCAATTGCTGGCAACTAGACGGTGCTGCACATGGCGCATGGCCTGGACACAACCCAGAAACAGATCGTGCACAACATGCGCTCTGTGACGAGCAGCCTTGCAGGCACCCAGGAGCTGCGTCGCTGGATGGGCCACGTATTCCAGTCTGGCGCGATTGGATACGGGCACGGGCTTTTCATCACCATCTCGCCAAATGAGAAGCAGTCCTGCTTGGTGATGCGTCTACACAGAGCACGCCAGGGCGACCCGCTGCTGCGCGCGGGGTGCACAGACGACGCACGGAATGCCATGAGGAAACGATTGGCGTCACGGGAGTGGCCGTCAGTCGGAGAGCGCCGACGCGGAGCTCCCCGATTTCGATTTGCGTCTGTGCGAAGTGGCCAATGATCCTCTCTCGGTCGTTCAGGGCTTCCGCGTCGCCGTGAACGTGATCTTGGGCCGCCTCCTGGGTCTGCGGTTGTGCGCCGAGTGCGGCGTCGCGCGAAGATATCGTAGGCAGCCCCGGTGCTGTTGCACGGACAAGTTCGGCTCCAATTCGCGCCCCATGGGCGGGATTTTCGGGGTTGCTGCAGCTTTGCTTGGCGCCGTCGAGAACCAGCACCTAGGCACGCTCCACTTCCACGGGTTCGTGTACCTCGCGAACATGTTCCAGCACGCACCCTTGACTGAGATCGCGAGGACAATTCGGGAGTCCCCTGGCTTGGCGGACGCGGTTAAGGAGTGGCACGCGTGGGTCCACAGGGAAGAGCACTGGGCCCCCGAGGAGCACCGGGAGAGCCTACCGTCGCTGGAGTCTGAGTGGCGGCAGAATCACCGCGCATCGGAGCACGTAGGTCTGTGTCGGTGGCCCGCGTATGTGGACCATGCCGAGCCGAAGACGAAGTGGGACGAGGGGTGCGATGCCGTTGCCTGCGACGCCGACGCGGCCACCTTCAAGCAGGCTTACGAGGCAGATGCGCAGATGATTTTCTCGAAGGTCCAGCATCACCACCATCCCAACGGGAAGCCGCTCACACACTGCATCAAGAAAGGCTGCAAACACGGCGACAAGTGCAAGCACGGCTTCCCGAAGACCATGCTCATGGCGGCCCCAGATGGACCGAGATTCCGCGTTGTGTGCCCTCAGGTGGCCAGGGAAGTCGGGCTTAAAGTGAACGGGCCGAGGAGTGCGTTGGGCGAGATCGCGGGGCCTCGGAACGACGACTTCCTGAGCGGGACTTGTCCAGCATTGGCGGTGGCATTTCGGAGCAACACGCACACGGCGCCGAACAACCGGCTCCCGCTGATCACAGGCATTACTCACGACCCGAACTGCCTGTGTCGACACGGCTCCAGAGAAGACACAGAAGAAGGGCACCTTCGACGCATCGCATTCGCGGTGCAGCGGTCCATGTCGAACTCCTCGCGGTACATCGGCGGGTACATTTCCAAGGTGCAGCGCGTCGGGAAGAAGGCGCGGGAACTGGCGAAGACCTGCCTGTCCACGCTGGCCGAGCGACTCCATGGGAAGTCCGAGATGCAGCAGACGCTCTACACTGTGCACCGCTGCATCGGGGACTGGGAGGCCAAGGGCGTGGCGCGGACGATCTTCGAGGAGGTGAACTTGGCGCACTTCGCGGACAGGCCGAACCCGCTCGCAGCGGAGTGCATCACGTCGTGCCCTGTCGCCGACTTCTACGCGGGCTGCTTCCTCCAGATCGTGGCCGACGAGACTCGGGCGGGGCGCGCGACGGCGCGGCGCCAGAAGAGGTCCGTGGTGTTCACGGACGCAGGCGAGGTGGCCACTCCGCCGGACGCGACGGCGCGAGCGTACGCCTACCGACCCAATCATGCCGAGTTGAAGACTTTGAGCCCGTACGAGTTCGTCCGCTTGTTCGAGGTGGTACCAACGTACCCGCCACCAAGAGATGCTTCGAAGCCATCGACGGGCCCGACGGAGTGGAAGGCGAATTCGCCGCCGGCCGCGGCTGATGGGCCTCCACGGCCTGGGGTCCATTATGTCGTGAAGCCACCCGCGGAGGGATGCAGGTACTTTGCGCTCGAAGAAGACCCAGACGACATGGAGTTCGCGCACATGTACGTGATTGTACCCCGGGGCGTCCCCGCGCTACCCGTCTTCATCGGGTCCGTCATGCCTCAGCCCGAAATGACGCCTGAGCGCCGCAGCGCCATTTTGTCTGCGTACTTCCGACCATGGACATTGGTGTGCAAGTACGGATCTTCTCGGGGGCCTGTTCCGCTAGCGAAGAATCTGAACTTGCCGCCCAAGCGCCAGCGCTGTGGGAGGAGCGCGCCGAGCTTCCGAGTAGCCCTCAAGCACTACCTTCGCGGCCACATCGTCTCGCCGTCCAACCGCATCCTGTGGGCGAACGTGCTCCGCACCATGACGACGATGCCGGAGAACGCCGACGAGGGCGAGGACGACCAGGACTCGAAGCCGGTGGAGGCGCTACCCGAGAACGCGTTTCCGGTCCTCAGCCCCAGCAGCATCATGGCAGAGTTACGGCGAGTAGACCGAGACGCCGGGGCAGATGCCGCTGGCGAGGACATTGGGAACCTCTCCCATTCGGTGCACAAAGCGCTGGAGCAGAGCATGTCCTTCTGGGACCCGCCGAACAGGGCGCCCACGTTGAACTTGCCACTGCGACAGTCTGCTCTTCGGCATTCCAGTGCAATGCCAGCGGGGGCTCGCGGGAATGCCCAGGAGCCACCGCGGAAGATTGCGCGCTCCAAGATGCGGGAGAAGCTGTACCCTGGCGACGCTGACCTGACCAGCAACATCCAGAGCTGGCGGAGAGGACCGGGGGGGGGCAATCTCGAGACGTGCAGTTGGCAAAAGCACGATCTGGATGCAGTTCGGTCGGGGGCGCCCGATTCGTCTCGCTCTGGAAGAAGATATCGAGGATGGAAACCTCGGCGTTTGAGCTGGCGTGTATCGAACAGAGTTTGTACAGAGCATGTGCAGAATGTGTACACAGCATGTATACTCCAGAACGTCATGTCGTAAGTGGTGAGTAGATCCAAGTATGGGGAAGGTTGATTACAAGCGAGGCTTCGTGTATACACTCAGAAGGATGGCGCTGCGTTTGCTTGCATTGCCTCGGTCGCGCCATGCGTGCTCTGTGGAAGGTGCGCGTACGCGTCTACATGTGCATGCGCGTATAGTGTGTGTATGTATAAACATGGACTTCCCAGATGTATACACGTCTGGGCATGCCAGGCAGGTGGCGCGGCACGTGTGATGTGTAGCAGACAGGGTTGTGCAGCAGTCGTCGGTAAGGTGGGTAGTGTGAAGGGAGGCAAGGCCATGCGCATCCCTGCCCGATCGCAGGACTGCAGACGCACCAGATCACCCCCGACCCGCAGCAGATGAGCATCCTGGACGCCGTCGCCGACAGGTGCGTCCAGGAGGCCCGCGAGCAGGACCAGCTGCGCGGATCGCCATGCTCCCGGCTGTTCGTTCTCGGCCTGCCGGTCTCAGGGAAATCGGAGGTCATCCGGTGGCTGTGCGAGGAGGGCGTGGGGCTGTTCCCCACGTGCATGGGATGGGAACACGAGGTGCACTTCATCAAGACCGCCCCCATGAATTCCATGGCGAGCAACATCGGTGGGCGAACCATCCACAACTTCAGCAAGCTCGGAATCGACCTCATCACGGGAGTCCAGTCCGGCGTCCGGCGGGAAGAAGGACCCGGAGTTGTCGGAGAACATGCTGCACACGAAAATCCAGCACATGCGCTGGCTCATCATCGACGAGGTGGAGAACGTTTCGGTGGAGTTGCTGGGCGCCGTGCACAGGCAGGTGAAGGACTCGACGAGGGACAAGGGAAACCCCTGGGCCGTGGACGCACGCGTTCCAAAACAGTTCGCCATGTTCGGAGGGCTCAACCTGGTGCTGCTCGGGGACTTATGGCAGATACCGCCCGTCAGGAGTCTCAGTATTGCCGCCAACCCATTTGTCAAGAGACCCGCCAACGTTGGCCGCATACTGGAGATGTTCTGGACAGAGGGCTTGCCGCACTCGGTGACTAACCGCTACGCCCTGGCCCAGTCGCACCGCTGCTCAGACGTGTGGTGGAGAAGCTTTCTCGCCGAAGCGCGCGCTGGGAATCTGTCGGACAGGATGTGCGATTTCGTCCACGGCTTCCCCACTGATGTGCCCGGCTCCTGGATGCCCGCAAGCCCCGGCAGCGCCGAGGCCTCGACGGGGCACTTCGGCTGCGGGAAGGCGAAGTGCCGCGCGCTCTGGTCAGTTGAGTGGCCACGGATGTTCGGAGAAGGTCGGGCCTGGGAGGACATGAAATCCCTGGAGTGCGCTGAGTGCAGCGCGGAACGCCATCGGCGCAGCCGCGTCGCCTCTCAGAGCGATGCCAGACAGCGGGAGGTGAGCACGGCGTTCGCGGACGCGCTGTTCGTGCACCCGTACAACGCCCCGAAGAGCAGGAGTCTGACGCTGCGAGCGGCGAATGCGGCAGCCAATGCTGGGAAGCAGCTCCTCTGGGTGGTGGCGCGCGATGTCCCCCTCACTCGGGACGACGCATGCAGGTCGACGGAGTCGCTCTCCCCCGCCAGGCAGAACTGGCTCATGTACCCCGAGAACAAGACTGGCGGAGTTCCGGGTGTGCTGCCGATCTTCGAGGGGATGCGGGCGCGGTTCACCACCACGGAGAATGCGGAGGCGGGAGCCTGCAAGCACTCCTGGGGTACCGAGACGGGCTGGGTCCTCCACCCCGACGACTCGAAGTTGGTGAAAGACCACAGGTCCGAGCCGGAGCTGGTCCTGCAGCACGTGCCCGAGGCGATCATGGTGCAAATTCCCGGGAACACAGCGCCCCGCTTTGGGAATCAGCCCGCGGGCGTCTTCCCCGTGAAGCAGAGGGAGGTGTCCTGGGATCGCAGTCCCGGCTTCAAGGCCATGGTGAAGCGCGCGGGGTCCCCGCTGGTCCCGCACTTCGCCGCCACGGCCCACTGCGTCACCGGCGCCACGCTGCCGCAGGCCATTATCGACCTCCTGGACGCGCGCACGACGCCCCGCGCAGCCATGGTCCCCACGGGCTACGTGGCCATCAGCCGCACCAGGAGGGCTGACGATCTGATCATCACGCAGCCTTTTTCGCCCATGCTTTTCCGCCAGGGGCATCAGACGGGCCCATGGCTCTTGCACTCCCTGACAGCCGGGGAGATGACGACGGAGCAGGCGGAAGCCGGCTGGGCCAAGGCAGAGAAGGAAGCCGCGTCCAGGTCGTCCAAGAAATTGGTGGACGTCACTTTCCAGTGCGCCGACTGCCACCAGCGGAAGAGAGCGGGCAACTTCCCAGGCAGCGGCATGAGAACGAGCGACCCCGTAGAGCACGCCGTGGCGTTGCTGTGCCAGGGCGCGTGGAGGAGGTGCGCCCTGTGCGCGCAGAAGCGGACCTCTGCTGCGGGCGCGCCCGCCGCGGCTGCAGAGCCATTCGCCGCGAAAGGCAGAGACGTGCTCGTCTGCAATCGCTGCAAGGAGACTAAATCGTTAAAGAACTTCAGACGCAGCGAGGTCAATGACTTGACGGGAAGAGGGGCGCTGGACCTTGCCGTTTGCGTCGCTTGCACCCCTGAGAGGCAGCAATTCAACATTATGTCGGAGGGCCGCCTTTTTAAGTGCCGCATCTGCTCGCAGGAGAAGGCAGCGGATCAGTTTGATGCAGCCTTTTTTAAGATGCACAAGAGCGTCAAAGTCGCCGCGTGCACAGAATGTCTCGACGAAAAAGGGAAGCCCCTCTGTCAGGGAGGCTGCGGAGCAAGGCCTCCAGACCGCTTGACGTACAGCACCGGTTTTTGGTGCGAGTCTTGCAAAGTCCCGCCGTGCGCGAGATGTGGCACGACTCCGCGGCCGAAGACGGCCAAGTACAGAGTGTGGAACATGAAAGAGTGGACCTGCGCTCAGTGCCGGGATCCGCGCGGGGGGCTGAAATGCGCCCAGTGCTCGGCAGTGTTTATGCGAGCAGCCGTGAAGAGTTCCCAGCGCGACAAAGCAGACATGCTCTGCCCCGCTTGCAGGCGGGCAGAGTAGGCGCCGCGCTTGCAGGCGGGCAGAGTAGGCGCCGCGCATCCGATCCGAACTGGTCATCGCCGCCGTGGAGAACTGTGGAAAATGTTGGCGTTACATGGCGTGACATGCTCGGCCTCCGCGCGCGTGTGCCGCTCCGGCCTGCCATCCCCGGGGCTTGAGGCGGTGTCCTGGAAGGGCTCATGGGAGCTTCGTGGAAGCCTCCAGGGATCCTCTTGGGGCATCTTTGGGGCCGCCTTGGGGCCTCTCGGGGCTTCTTCTTGCGTCTTGCGCCGTCTTGGGGCGCTCTTGCGCCGCCCAGCCCCTTCGGAGGCCATCTTGGAGGCCTCTCGCGGCCGCCTTGGGGCTCTTTGGGAGTCTCCTTCGCCCGTCTTGGAGACCCCTTGGCCCGTCATGGGGGCCTCTTTTGGCCGTGTCGGGCCCCCTTTGGCCATCTTGGAACCTCCATGGGGGCCTCTTGGGCCGTCTGGGGGTCTCCTTGGAGGCTGGTTGGGCCGTCATGGTCCTCTGAGAGCCGGCAAGGGCGAGAACGCGATAATTATTAAAAAGCCATTGGGAAATTTATGATTTTGGCTCATGGAGGCGCCCTTTGGGATCATTTTGGGGCCCTCTTGGGCCGTCTTGGGGGCCTGACGGGCCCTCTTGGGACCATCTGGGGCCGTCTTGGGGCCGTATTGGGCCGTCTTGGGCCGTCATGGGGCCATCCTGGAACCCCCTTGACGCCTTCTTGGAGTCCCAAGAGGCCGAAGAGGCCGAAATTGTTGATTTTACATCGGTTTTTGTAGGTTTGGGGTCCAGAATGAGGGGGGCCAACTTTTGGTACGGCGCTGTGGCGCGACTCCAGGGGGGGGTTAGGGGGGGAGACATAATAATGTAACAAAACACAATATGTGTCAATTCCGCAATAGAGGCCGAAGAGGCCGAAATTGTTGATTTTACGTAGGTTTTTGTAGGTTTGGGGTCCAGAATGAGGGGGGCCAACTTTTGGTACGGCGCTGTGGCGCGACTCCAGGGGGGGGGTTAGGGGGGGAGACATAATACTGTAACAAAACACAATATGTATCGATTGTGCAATCATTGGACACATGGGATACGTTGCATTAAGGCGTTCGCCGAAAATCGCTACCGCTCAGCACGTCACCTCCGGACGTGGATTCTTGGGCTTGCGCCACACCGCCGACCCCCCGGGGAACTGGCGGTTGTTACGCGTTGCTACTGAGGGCCTCTTGTGGGCTGTTTGGGGGGTTTCTTGGAGCTCGTTTGGGGCTTCGCGGGGCCATTTTCGGAGCTTTTTCGGGGACCTCTTGGGCTGACATTTTCAGTATTCGCCGTGCGAACGCATGGGGAAAGGGGCGAGAACACAACACGAATTAATGAAATCTCTTCGCTCAATACCGCCGCCCGTTGATATGGCATCTGCTGGTTTTTGTCTGTGTGTTCGTTGCCCGAGCTACTGCGACTTCTTGGGCGTGTCATTCGACCGTTGCGTGGGGATTATGATGGTGAAGCAGTTCCCTGGGGGTCGTCTCTCGATGGGGCGAAAAGAGTCGTCGTCAAGATGCTTCTTGGGGGGGCCTCTTGGGGTCTGTTGAGAGGCCGTTCGGGGGCGCCTGGGAGACATGTTTGAAGCCTTCTGGGGCTTCTTTTGGGCCTCCTGGGAGTCTCCTGGGGCCTCTTGGCGACATCTTGGGGCCTCTTGGAGGCCTCTTGGGGCTTCTTTGGGACCTCCTGGGCGCCTTCTGGGACGGAGGGCTCCATTTTTGAGTTCTCGGTATCCCTCCTGAGTCCCTCTTGGGCCCGTCTTGGGGCCTCTTGGTCCGTCTTGGGCGGCACTTGGGCCGTCTTGAGGGCTCTCTTGGGTCGTTTCGGCGCCGTCTTGGTAGCTTCGTGGGCCGTCTTGGAGCGGTCTTGGGGGCCTCTTGGGCCGTCTTGGAGCGTCCGGAAGCCGAAAAAGCCAGAACACAAAAAACATCGAAAAAACCAATGAAAATCAACGTTTTTGGCCTCTTGGGGCTCTCTTCGGAGGCCTCTTGGAAGGCTCTTGGGGCGTCTTGGAGGCCTCTTGGGCTGTCTTGGGGGCCTTTTGGGCCGTCTTGGGGTCATCTTCGGCGTCTTCGAGCGCTCTTTGGGCGACTCGGGGGCCTCTTGGGCAGTCTTGGGGGCCTCTGGGCACTCTGACGCCACTGGGGAGCCAGAGAGGCCCGCACCCAAAGAAAACCATCTCTGAGAGACTTGGTCGGGGCTGCGGTCGGGGTACATATCGCCGGGGGACCCCCAGGGACAGCCCCGCGCGCGCGAACTAGAAATACTGTTAATCACTGTTAACCAGTAACCCGGAGATCTTAGCACGACCCAGGCCCCGTTTGGCCAAGCGAATTAACGAAGACCCTACTGCTCATCAACCGGCCCCCCCTGCCTATTGGAAGCGCCTATGCGGGCGCGAACGTTGAGGCCAGACCTGCCAAGCTATCGACCATGTGCTCCCCGAAATCGTTTGAAAGCCTTTGCGCGCGACGTGGGCATCTTGAAGTCACTTTGGCCGCCTGAGGCCATTAGTGAAACCCTTTTCGGGCCTTCTTGGAGGACGTCTTGGAGGGCTCTTGGGCCGTCTTGGAGGCCATCTTGAGCGTCTGGGAGGCCTCTTGGGCTGTCTTAGGGGCCTCTTGGGGCCGTCTTGGGCCTCTTGGGCGATCTTTGGGGATGCTTAGGCCGTCTCGGGCCGTCGAGAGGCCGAAAAAAGGCAAACGCCATAATCCTGCAAACACCAATGGGAAATCAATGATTTGGGCCTTTTCGGGCCTTCCTGGAGGCCCTCTCGGAGGCCTCTTGGGCCGTCTTGGGCCATCTTAGGGCCATGTTCGGCCGTCTTGGTGGGCTCCTGGTCCGTCTGACGCCGTCGGAACTCTCTGGGCCGACTTCGGGTCCTTGGAATGCTCCAGGGCCGCCTAGGAGGCCATCTTGGGCGTCTTAAAAGGCCTCCTGGGCCGTCTTGGGGGCCTCTTGGGGTCGTCGTGGGGCCCTCTTGGGCCGTTCTGGGGCCATCTTGGAGGCCTCTTGGGCGATCATTGGGCGATCTTTGGGGGCTCTTGGGCCGTCTCGGGCCGTCGGAAGGCCGAAAAGAAGCACATGTCAAAATCCTTCAAAAACCAGTGGCAACTGTCTGTTTTTGGGGTCTCTTACGGCCTTCCTGAAGGCCCTCTTGGAGGCCTCTTGGGCTGTCTTGGGCCAGCTTCGAGCCACCTTTGGCCATCTTGGTGGGCTCCTGGCACGTCTGACGACGTCGGGAGCCGTCTTGGGGGCCTTTCTGGGCCGACTTGGGGCCCTCTTGGGGCGCTTCGGGTGCCAGCTTTTGAAAACAACGGAATTTTGTTTCCTCTCACCACGTTCATCGTCACCCGACTCCCCCTGTCACCTTCTCCATGCTGTTGCTGCCGCGATGGCTCCCCGTCCCCACACTTTCATCATTATCCTGCCCGTTGTTCTGCCCCCGTTCTTCTTCAAGCCTGGGGCGCCAATCCTCGTCCTGTCGATCGCTGTCCTCTGAGTCGCGCAACGTGCACGCATCCCATGTAGCTTGCACAACAAATCGCTGCGCCTGCACTGTTTGGCCTGCGTTCTTTCCACTCGATGCAACTTGGTTGGGTACGTCGCAGGGTAGTTGGTTCACGTTTCCCTGGCAAGCTCCCGCTGCCATCACGGCGCTTCCTTCTGGAAATCCCTTATGATAGAGATGGACATCAAGTTGATTTCATGCGTGGGGGTTTGCGACTTGAATTTGATTGAAGTGGTTTTCGACTTGATTTTCATAGTGGTGGCGCCGTGGCTGTTTTTACGAAGCAAATGATTTTGCAATTCTGCTTCTGCAGGAGTCGGCGCGCAATTCAGTTTAGATTGATGGATGACATTACACATGGGGCATTCCAGAAAAGGCCTCGCCTTCGAGGATAGAAGGAGTTTCCATGTCTTCCGCGGCGGAAGGCGGCGGAAAAGGGCGTTGGAAGGCGGCGGAAGTAAAATGAGGGCGGCTCCGCCGGCGGAAGCCGGCGGAAGCAATAGATGGGCCCCCAAGAGATGACAACAGTTTTGGGTTAAGGGTTTCCTGAATTGACCACGTGCCACAAACGCTACACGTCTGTTAACACACAGCAGAACATTTGGTTTGGTAGGATCGCACGAGCGGCGTGTCCCCCCCCCCCCTCCCCAGACGAAGGGCGGCTCTGCGCGAGGGCGCGGGCCTTCTGGCGGCGAAGGGGCCCCTCATGGGCCAGTCGGCGGCGTGCTCGCAGGACTGCAGCTGCGCAGGCGGGCCGGCGGGACTTTGGGTAGGTGGATCTCTCAAGCTTTCCGCCGCCTCTGGCGGTGTGCGTTGCGAGCAGGAACGCAGCAAAGCCACAGGAGAGCGCGGCATTGACAGTGCAGCTCCGCACACGTGACAAATGTTGACGAGCAGGAACGCAGCAAAGCCCCAGGAGAGCGAGGCATTGACAGTGTGGCTCAACATTGACACGGTGGTGGCCGGGGAGCCCCCGCGACATGTCCACGCGCCGAGGGTGTGCGCTTTTGATCAGGCTTCGGGCTACGCTGGAGGAGCTGGAGGAAAAAGCGGCCTACGCTTGCACGCAGACAGCCCCCACAGACTCCCAGGTATCGGGGAACCAATGGTGACATAAACATGAAGCCGCGCGGATGTCTGGGATCTGCGCTGGGCCCCCCCCTGGAGGCGCTTGCGGTACCGTCCCTGGCGCGCTCGCGCCGGGCAGGAGGGTTTCCAGCGCCGATCCAAGAGATGTGCGCTGAGCTCCGGAAGCTTATGTTTCTGCCGCCGTTTACTCTTCTAAGGTAGGCCCAGCTGGCCTCAAGAGGACCCCCGAGTAGTGCCAGCTGGCCTCGATAGGCTTCTCGAGCAGTCCTGGGCGGTCTCAACGCCCGAAGCTTGGGGCGCGGAGCGCTCTGGGTGCTCCGCCGGAGACGGCGCCAGGGTGTTGAGACCACCCCGGACTACTCGTGGGGGCCTGTTGAGGCCAGCTGGGACTATTCGAGAGCCTGTTGAGGCCAGGTACCTTCCCTCACCTTACCCCGCGGAGAAAAAGCTCAGATATCCGACGGTATACTTCTTCGGCTGCGGCCCTGTTCCCTCAATGATTACCTCTGGGGCCCACTGTTGGGCCCGTGGGGCCTTCAAAAATTGACTGGAGGTCCATATTACCCCAAGTTGGACTCAAGCTCCACTCAAGCTTGATTCAAGTTCGACTCAATGTCGTCTCAAATGGACAGGTGTTCAGCGCAGCATCGACGCACGAGTGGAGCGACTGGCTCCAGGAAGGACCCCAGAGCGAGCATCTAACCTCTCTGGAAACCCCAACTGAGCGATGCAACGGAAAAGGTGGTCGACTGCGCCGACATGGGCTCGTAGGCTGCCCACGTAAGGTCGTGCTGCTCGTCTCCAGTGCAGCGTGCCGCGCTGGCGGCCCGCGGAGGCTGCGGCGTAAGGTCGCCGTGCCACCTCGCGCAAGAACCGCCTCTCTTCGTCATTAATCTGGAGTCGTGGCCCCGCGATTATCCCGCGGCGCGTTGGATGTGGGCGTGCCCCGCCCGCTCGGGGCGGGAAGTGGCAGAGGCCACGTCCAGTCGCACCGCGGGGCCCGGGGCCCTCGTGGGCCGCGCCTCCAGATCGGTGCATGTGGATCGGAGGGCAGCGACCGAGCGACGCAAAGAACAAGGGGCCGTCTGCGCCGACACTCGTGAGCTGCCCGCGTGAGGTCGTGCGTAAGCTCCGATGTGGCGTGTTGCGCTGGCGCCCCGCGCAATCCGCTGCGTAAGTTCGCCATGGCATCTCGCGTGGGACTCCATTTCTCCGTCACGCACGTATGCACGTAGGCCGATCCTGGCAAGGCCGATCCTGGGCCCAGGATCGGTGTATATGCCGCCCTGCCCTGAGCCAAGAGGGCGTATACACCGATCCTGGGCCCAGGGTGCGCCTGGCCAGGATCGATGTGGGTGTATACTCGGCGTCCCCCAGTGGAGAAGCCCCCAGCTTGGACGGGGGAATCAGGTTGGACGAAGGAGGTGGGCAGGTCATTGACTCACACATGAGAACTAGTACGCGAGTCTCGTCTTGGACGAGATCACGACATGGTACAGGCGGCCTTCTCAGACCTCGCCACCTGGGGCCGAGGCCCTCCTCCCAGCTTCGAGGAGGACGCGCAAGGAGGAAGTGGAGGAGGATGACGAGGAGGAACATGAGGACAAGGAGGAGCAGGAAGAGCAGGAGGAGCAGGATGAGGGGGAGGACGACGATGGGGAGTAAGAGGAGGAACGAGCGAGGAGGAGGAGGAGGAGGAGGAGGAGAGGGAGGAGGAGGACATGAGGAGGAGGGAAGGAGGAGAGATTAGGAGGAGGAGTGAAGGAGAGGCGGAGGAGGAGAGGAGGAGGGGGGGAAGAGCAGGCGCAGGGGCGCATCGAAGAGCAGCAGGAATGAGCAAAATAATCAAAAGGAGAAGTGGCGCGGGAGAAGCATGAGAGCAGGAGGAAGAAGAGTCGCAGGCGGAGAGACATGAGCAGAGAGGGTAGGGTCGATGAGGAGGCGGAGAGAAAAGGCGGAGGAGAGGAAGGTAGGGAGGGGGAGGAGGAGGAGGGAGGAGGAGGGATTGGGCTGAGTAGGATAAGAGGAGACTATATAGATAGGAGAGGAATTATGGTAGGCATACGGATGAGGGTGCATGAGGAGGCGTAGATGAGGAGGCGGCGAGAGGAGTGGAGAGAGTAGGAGGCGAAGCGGAGGCGAGGAGGAGGAGTAGGAGGAGGAGGAGATGATTGACGAGGACGAGGAGGAGAGGCCTGTGAGGGAGGACCATAGGAGTAGGAGTAGGAGGGGAGGAGGAGGAGGAGGAGGAGGATGAGAGGAGGAAGCGGAGAGGAGGAGGAGACTGCGTAGCGGCCAGGATAGGCGAACGACGAGGCGTAGTGAGAGGAGTCGGATCAGTAGAAAGATGCAGGAGACCTGCGGCACCTGGCGCATGCACGATGATTGAGGCGAGGCTCATCTTGGGAGGATAGGAGGAGGAGCAGGAGGAGCAGGAGGAGGATGAGAAGGAGGTGGAGCAGGAGGAGCATGAGGAAGGAGCGGGGAGCGAGGAGGAGGAGGAGGAGGAGGAGGAGGAACGAGCGACGTGCGAGTAGAAGCAGGAGGACAGGGAGGGAGAAGGGACCGAGGAGCGAGGGACGGGTATAGCTGGGAAGCGGGAGCGAGGTCTTTGAGTCCAGGGGGGCGCTTGGAGGAGAGCGGTGGGAATGGAGGACCAGCGCGGTGGGGTGAAGGGTGGGCCATCCGTGCCGAGCACCTGGAGGCGTCGCGTCGCAAAGCGAACGGAACGGCCAGCGCTGCAGATTCGGACCCGTCGGGAGCCTTGAGACATGGGTCAATGCAAACGGGGGACGGCCAGGGACCCTGACCTCGCAGCATCCTGCAGCGCCAGGGCTGCATTGACCCAGGCAAGCGCGCAGAATCCCGCAGGATCCTGCAGGATTTTGCAGGATCCTGCAAGGCCTGACTGGCTATGGTTTGCACTGGCCCGGCTCAGTAGATCCCCGATCGTCGGAGCAGCTTTAAGGCTCCATAGTTCGTGTCTGCTGGTTTTTTTTTATCGCTTCGCTCATTCCGCCGGCCCTGGAGCGCTATTTGGGGCCTCTTGGGGCCGTCTTGGGGGCCTCTTGGGGGCTTCTTGGGAGCGTCTTGTGGCTCCTTGGCGGCGTCTTGGGCTCCCCTGGGGCCTCTTAGGGGGCTCTTGGGGGCCCCTTGGGGCGGGAGGGGGGGTAGTCGATTGCAGCCACCCCCTCGGAGGCCACGATCCTCGTGAGGGGTAGCAAAAAATAGCCTCCCCCCTGGGGATCGCCCGGGACCCAGCCAGGACCCGGCCAGGGATCGGCCAGGGCACTTTTCGTCCGGGGGCCCCCAAGGGCCTCCCCGCGCGCGCGAACTAGAAAGATTGTTAAGTAGTTACCGGAGATCTTGGCACGCCTCTTGCCCGTTGGGCCGGCGAATTCAGGCTCGCATGGCATACGTGGATTGCGTTGCCACACCAGTGAAGCGAAGTGAGGGAGGAGGAGGAGCGAGGAGCGAGGAGGAACAGGAGCGAGGAGCGAGGAGCGTTCTGGAATCAGAGAGCTCCAGGGATCATCCGACGACCTCGGTCTCCCCAAATGCGACTGGGGGTGGACTCCCAGACTGGAGCCGCTGGGCCGCCTTGGCCTGGAGACAGACTCCACCTGATTCGCTGCAAGTGTTCGTGCCCTCTCTTGGTGGGGGAGGCTGAACGCTGGTTAATTAACTGTCTTGGGTCGACTGGGGCCGATCGGCCACGAGAGAAGAAGTAGAGCGAACACTTAGGCCAGTGAGACAAGACGGTAGGCGAGGGAGGAGGGAGGAGGGAGGAAAAGGAGGAGCGAGGTGGATAAGCGAAGAGCGTGGATCGGGGGAGGACGGGGGGAGGAGGAGGGGTGTATCGTAGCATCGGGTCCCGAAGCCATGTCAAACAACAGGGGCATCTTTGGCCGTCTCAATCCTTGGGAAGGCCCACGGTCAAGCTGACTCGGGGGGCGCCGGGAGGCGACGAGTGGCTTGCCGTGCAGAAGGGCGCCGCGCTGGGGGCGAACGGGGTGCCGTCCTTCCTGAGGGACCCCGGGCGCCCCCGCCCGGCATTGTCGTCGTCGACGGCGACGTCGACGTGGACACCGCCGTCGATGTCGTTGTCGTCGTCACGGTCACAGTCACCAGCACAGTCGTCGGCGTCGGCGTCGTCGTCGTCGACGTCGTCAATGTCGTCGTCGTCGTCGTCGTCGTCGTCGTCGTCGTCGTCGTCGTCGTCGTCGTCGTCGTCGTCGTCAGAGTGACCGCAGGGAAATGGCCAGGCAGAGAGCGGGGCAGGGATGGAGCGACGACAGAGCAGCAGCGTCCTGCCACTGGAAGGTCTGGCGCAGACCATGCAAGTCAAGATGTTTTTTTGAATTTCCTCCTTGTCCTCCTCCTCCTCCTCCTCATTCACTGCCTCCTCCTCCTCCTCCTCCTCCTCCTCCTCATTCACTGCCTCCTCGACATCATGAATCCCCCCGACCTGCCTAGGCAATGGTAACATGAGCTACGTCGGCCGCATCTGCATTCCTGTGGAATTGGTTGGCTGCGTTGGGAGACGCACGCTGATGTGTGAAGCGGGCAGTCGACTACAGCTACACGACACCAGATGTACGACATCACCGGCCGATCCAGTTTTCTCTGTCAGATTTGAAGGTGCGCAACGACCATTGCCACGGCGATCGCCACGGCCAAATCGAAAATCACCGTTCTGCTGTCTGGCACAAGGCCACAAGCGGAGCGAAGTCTTTGCTGAAGTGGAGCGATTTTGGCAACTAGGCTACAAGGGTTTCAATGATTTGGAGCAACCGCATGATCTTGGGGAACGGAATCAAAACTTCGCGGACATCGTGAGTAAATCATTCGTGGCACTGTTGCACGCCAGTGTTCAGTTTTCTGAAAAGCGCAGCGAACAGGCTGAAACGTTGTGGGTGTTAGCGTGCAGACGAGGACCACGGCAGCAACAGTGAGTTGCAGCGGACAGCGTCACATTCGAGCCGTTTTATCTAAAACAGTTCAGCATGTCAGCACGGAGTGATTACACGAACCGCCTCTATTGGGACGCCACTGCTGTGAGACGGGGTAAGGAGACGCACAACACAGGAAACTATGATTACGGATGCCTAGCACAGCGACTTCCACGTGCAACGGAAAGCGAGGACGGCGACAAAGACAGTTTGCGGCCCTCCCCACATCTACAGCGAACGCAGCTGGATATTGCGCACTCGTGCGGTTGTCCAGCGCGCAGGACGAATTCCCAGCCAAACAACCAAGTATTGATGACTGTGTACGAGAAGATAAACGTGAGCAGCGTGTACATCGAGCAACTGAGGATGCCGTGTTCTGATTTTGTGAGGGTTGCAGCGGAAGCGGCATGCACAAGACGACCGGGAGGTTGAAGCTATGGAGGGGTTACCATCTTGGTCTGTGTTTGTTGACGCGCCCCGCGGAGTCATGAAATCGAAGTGAATCAACACCAGGCGCCTTCAGGCCCAGGCTGGCATCGGATAGTTTCGGAGCGTATATCATCGAGTTCGAGATGCCAGATGCCACCCAAGGATTCTCAACTTGTTTGTCTTGTCTCGCATGCTGCAGCGTTTTCCATTGGTATGGCGCCATGGCGACCTGAAGAATGAATTCGTGGATGATTAAACTCAAGGGGGAGACATTCGGCCATTGGTGTGCGACTGATGTCCCCGAACAGGCTCCAAGCGGCTCGCGTATCACACTCGGTCAGGCTTCACGATGCGACCAACGCCTTCTTCAGTTTATTCATGGGGATGTGGTTGCAATAGCCCCCACGTGGCATGCCTAGCAAGATTTGTAGCAGTTTGCTACGGACAGAGCGACGAAAGGCGCTTTCCTCTTTTAGGACGAGTCTGGCACGTTCTGGTTGCGGCGACCGGCTTGCGGAAACATGTTTACAGGCGGCGTCGGCGCGACCTTGGTAATTGCCAGTCTTCCCAGCCCGCCGCTGCAGGCCGAGATAGCGGACCTCTACGTCAATGAGCAATGGCATGTCGCAGTGGAAGCCGAACCACCCTGGAGCGCCAGCCTCTCGCAGCACATGGGGCGAGCTGTAGTCGTTGATAATCCAGCATGCAAGATCCTGAAGGGCAGCGTATTCGGATTCAGTGTAGTTATAGGCTTGATCTGGGGGGCAAGCTTGAAAACGCTGCTGTAGAACGTGGAGCGAGGAAGGTGGGGCATGACCGAACACGGGCCCGCTGGATAGTGTAGCTTCGTTTCGAGGTGGAGGGGCGCGCATAGCTGCGCGCAGCATCCGCGAGCACAGCGCGAGCAAGGACGGACGTGCACTGCATCGCGCGCGATGCCTCGGTGGATTACAAGCAAGGATATTTGCTTTGGAGCCTGAGCTGGACAAGCGGTTGCGAGCTCCACAAGCTTGCTGCTCATGGGGACAAGAGTGCCCCGGGGATGTTCTGCGTCGAGCGGTCCATGGCGAATGGATTCTTAGTGGAGGTTGCGGCCGGCGCCTCGGGGGTGCGCGCGACGGGTTGCGAGTGGCCCGCCAGCGCCGATCTTGCGACCGGAATCTCGCGCCGCGTGAAATTTCCGCTGCGCGCGAGCGTCGGGCTATCGTCGGCGGCGCTGCTGCCTGGAAAGAGGGCGCGCGGCGCGCCCGTGCCGCACTAGGGCGCGAGGCGCTAAAGCAGCCCCGCCTCGCCCCCCTCGCCGTTGGGCCCGGGGCCGGGCGAAGCGAGCTGCCCCCGGCGATGGCGCAAGTCAGAGATCAACGCAGTCAGCTCGTTACCGCATGCGTTGGATGGCGCGATCTTGACGGGGGGGCGCGATCGGGGGGCGGGGGCGCCGGGCCTCGCGCCCGCCCCTGGGCCGTCCAGTTACATGGGGGGCCTGGAGACGTTGAAGGAGGTGGTGGCACGGGGGGCGACGCGGGGTGCGAGAGGGGGCCCGCGGGGCATATCAGTCGGGTTCTGGCGACTTCACACGGGTAGACTGCAGCGAGGTCAGAGTTGAATTCGTCGCGAGCAAGGGCCTCAACGTGCCAGGGCAGGCCGCGCCAGGCGGGCTGCGCGCAAGCACGATGACACCTAGCACGGCCTCCAAAGCACATGCTCACCAAGCCCATGGCCGACGCCATTGGGGGAAGTCGCTACCAGCTACGCGCGGGGCCTGCCCCGACCAAAGCGAGCGCGCGCGCGCTGCGCGATGGCGTCTTTTCGACGCGGAGGCTGCAATGGAACGCGTGGCCGTCTGTCTTACGACGCAGTTTTGCCCTTGCCGCAGAAGTAGATATATGCGCGAGGCGATCCCCCCGACGCCGTGGCTTGTCGGATCTGCAACGAAGAGTTTGTCGTCGTTGCGCTCTGGTCCAAGAGCTGCAAAGATCGCCCGTCGCCGCGCACCGTGACATGTGCAAGCAGAGCACGGGGAAGCATTGCGGGCGAAGCTCTACGACGACAACTGGGGCCCAGTGCCCAATGGCAGAGGGCATGGGGACAGACGGGGCGCAAATGCGCGAAAGACGCGGCCCCTGCGAAGCATGTCTCGGAGTTTCGCCGTTGACGGAGGCGACTCAAAGAGGACGAAGCATGGCGTCGGCCATTCGGGGGACATGGGCGACGCGACGACGATGGCAACTGGAGGCGCGGGCCAGGACCCCGGGGCGCAAGGCCGCGAGCACGGCCTCGACGCACCGATCGCATCAAATTTTCGCGGGCGTCAACGAGCCGCGCGCAGGGCGCGCCAAGTCAGGGGGGCGGGCGCCGCGAATAATCTCGGACCGCCAGTTTGCCAGGATCTCCACGCCGTTCTCGCCGCGCCATGCAGCTGGCAATGCAGGGGCGAACCGGGGGGGGTGCAAAGGCCGAAACTCGCTGCCGCGGGCGTCGCGAAGGCGGTGGAAGCAGCAAGCCCCGACGCAGCGGCACTTGGGGCGCAAGAGGCGGCATCGCCCCCGACTTCCGACCAAACGAGCAAGCCCTAGTCACGCCACAGGTGCCCGACGACGAGAACCTCCTCGACGAAGATGGGCTTGAGGCCCTGCGGCTCCGGGCCATCCTCCACGCCAGATCGACCCCCTTGAGGTGCTGGCGGCGTTCTTCCAGCAGAAAGGCAAGCATTCGAACGTCGAACAGATCGTGGCTGAGCTGGCGGTCGTCTTGCCGCGCGCGCAGGTTGTCTGCCCGCTCCGTTCCTCGTCGCATTTCACCCCCTGGACTTCCCGGGCGCCCCTGGCCAGGGTTGCTCCTGAGGCTTCGATGCGCTTCTCTCTTTGTTTTGAAACTGCGCATTCTGGCCCCCGAAAGCGCCTCGAAGGAAGCGCGCGTCACATTCAAGTTCCCGTGCCCCTTGGGCGCGGGATGTGATCGGCAGCCCCGCCCCCCGCTAGTTTTTTATGCCGGGGTGCTGGAGCGGTTCCTCTTCAGCGGGCGCGAACGGGGCGATGTCGCGCGGGCCACCTGTTCGCGCCCCCCTGTCTCTGCCTCGAGGCGCCGCCCCTTTCGCCCGCCAGTGGAGTTGATCTGCCATGGATTGATCCTCGAGCGTGGTGCGAGATCAGCGATCAGCTGAACTTCCTCCGCCCCCTCGTTTCTGCGCGCCCTGTCCGCTCTAACGGCCGGGCCCCCGCGCGGGCAGAGAAGCGCTGCATCTGCCTCGCGCGCGGCTATCAGAGCTAGCGCGTAGAGGAAAAACGCAGCGTCGCCCTCCTGCTTTGCATGGGAACGTATCGCATTGACATTGAACTGGGCGTGAGATCGAGCGAGCGTCCTCCTCGCCCCCCAGTCCTCCTCGCCCTTCTCCTCTCCTCCTCGACCTCTTTGTCCTCGTCCATCCAACGAGTCGACCCCCGCCCCCCCTCATCCAACCCGATGTTCAGCGCAGGGCTGAGGTTGCAGGAGATTGCCTCGCGCCGCGGAAGCGCGGGCGCGCAGGGGCACAGGCCACCCATCGGATGGTAGATGAAGCGTTGCAGAAGAATATTGGCACGACATTGGCATTGGAGGCGGAGGCGGGCACAGGCGAGGACGCCAACGGACCCACTGGGCGCGCGATACTATTC